TAACAAGAGGACCAGAAAAGATCTTGAGAAACTGTAATGACAGATTTAGCATATCAACGGAGGAAGGAGCTCTGCAAATGTAGGAACCCAGAAGTGTAAGATTGTTTGATTTAGAATTATCAAGGGAGCCATGTGAGGTAGGGAGAGTGCATAGTCTAAGAATTGGATTTCAAGTTCCTTTTTCAAGGGATGACGTGGTGGCTCCCGCCTGTGATCCCAGCACTTTGGGAGGCCAAGGCAGGAGGATTGCTTGAGCTCAGGAGTTTGAGACCAACCTGGGCATCATAGTGAGATCCTGTCTCTATTAATGAAAAAAAAAAAAAAAGCCCCCATGGCTGCTGAGGTGGGAGGTTACTGTAAGGCAGGCAAGAGGCGAGCAGAGAGACCAGATAGAGGTGACGGTAATAGTCCAGGTGGGCGCAGATGGGGACCTCGGCAGAGGCGGGCAGTGGAGAGACCTGCTGTGGAAGTGAGGCCAGCAGGCCCTGCTGATGGAGCCATGTGGGAGCGAAAGAAAGGAAGAAGGCAGGGGTGATGGCACATTTTTGGCCTGAGCACCTGGAAGAATGAAGTTGTCATTTATTGCGCTACCTCAGTGTTCCTAGCAGTGTGTGAGACAGACAGGACAGGTCTTGGGCATGTGTCAGATGAGGATGTGGGGCCAAAAAAGGTGCCCCAACTGCCCAAAGTTCCCAGGCCAGTCAGGGGAGGGACTTGGTCTCTGGCTCCAGCTGTATTAGTTTCCTCTTGCTGATGTAACAAAATACCACAAACCCAGGGGCTTTGGAACAATGTGCATCAATTATCTTACAGTTCTGGAGTCATGAGACCAAAATCAGTCTCAGCGGACTTAAAACCAACATGTGGGCAGGACTGTGCTCCTTCTGGAGGTTCTAGGGGTGCTGCTGATTAGTCGCAAGATCTGGGCATGATCTCCCCATGGTTCTGTCCTCTGGAAAGTGGGAATATTGACACCCCTGCCCCCTAGGGTTGTTGAGGAATTTAAACAAGACAACAGCTTTGAGGAAGCGTCAACAGGAGAAGCTGCCATGCTCATACAGGCGTAGGGTAAATGGGCCCACTGGCCAGCATCACTAGCCAGCATCGGCGGTGTCCAGTAGGCCTTTCCTAAGGGAGTTGTGTGTTTTGATTGTAGCCCGATGGAGAACACAAGGCGCCTGAAGAAGCCTCCAGCAGGAGGGAGAACCAAGTCTCTGGACAGGGCACAGGCCCCCAGGAAAGACTCCGAGTCGTCAGACTGCCAGTGCCTTTCCCTGTCCGCTGCCTCCTCCAGGAAGGCTCTCCGCCGAACAGTCAGTGATGGGGCCAGACGGTCTGAGAGACCAGCTCAGTCGGCAGGGGCTCAGGGCCTCACGGCTGTGGCCCTCACTCAGGAAGAGACAAGGGAGTTTCTCCCCTGTGAGCAGAGGCCCCTGCAAGACACCAAGAAGGACAAGGTGCAGAAGCGGGCCCAGCAGGGGTGGCTGAAGACGGTGCTGAACTTCTTCCTGAGGACAGGCCCCGAGGAGTCCAGAGAAAAGGCCAGCAGGAGGCCCAGGGGGAAGGAGGGCCTCCCCCAGCCCACAGAGCCCTTGGAGGCACCAGGGGAGCCAGCTCTCAAGAAGAGAGCCCAAGCCAAGAAGGCCAGCCGCAAGAAACATGGTCACAAGAAACACGTGGCTGAGGAGACCAAGGAAGCTCCAGATCAGGAGGCCAGAGGTCAAGAGGCAGGGCCGTCCAAGATGGCAGCTGCCTCACACTCCGAGGAGGCTGACCTGGGCCCAGCTCGCAGGGGTGAGCAGATCATGCCAGTTTCTATGGTCACCCCACTGCCCCGTCCCAAGGGCTAGGGTGTGCTAAGCTTACTCCTCAAACCTCTCAACAAAGAGGATGTGGGTAGCGGGGAGCTGTTAGGGACAGCACCACTGTGACATTTCTTTAGCATGAAACAACACTGTGGCTGCCAGTTGGAGAGTAAAGCTCCCGAGGGCCCCCCAACTCACTAGCGGTGTATGCGGCTGGCGACTTTCACCTCTTCGCCTCCATTTTTTCATGGATGAGATGAAGTTAAAACAGCTACTGCCTCATGGGGTGGTCACAACCCGCAAGGAAGGTGCTCAGTGCACGATAGCTATTTTTGCTGGTGCTCGGGTTTGGAGAACAGGGAATAAAACACATAGGGTATTGTTCTTGATTGCTTTAGGGGCAATCACGACCTAGGAGGGATGAGAAGACAGGGAGGAGGAGGGTGGCCCTATCCTGTCCCTTGGACCAGATGTGCTGCTGGTTCTAGGCCTTGGCTCTGAACGTGGCTCGTGGCTCCGTCAGGAGTAAACTTGTTGCATGACCTTGAGCTTGAGCTGCCCTCTCTGGAGCCGTTGATTCCTCATTTGTGAATGAGGAGCTTGTTCCCAAGGTGCCTTCCTATTCTGCCTCCCAGGACCCTGGGGCCGAATGCTCCCTTAGCACCTGGAGGAGGAAGGAGCCTTGCTCTGTGGCACTTAAAGCTTGCTGCTTTTTAAATGTTTTTTATTTTTATTTTTAAGGGAGAGGTCTCAATATGTTGCCCAGGCTGGTCTCGAACTCCTGGGCTCAAGCAATCGTCTTGCCTCAGCTTCCCAAAGTGCTGGAATGGCAGGCATGAGCCTCCATGCCCGGCCACTGTGTTTTTGATGGGAGAAGAGACCCAGGGAAGATACAGGGTGGGGCAGGGGGCGATGTTGCTGAGAAAAGTCCCTGGGTTGAGGAAGCCTCTTTGCAAATAAAAACCTTGGTGAGATTCTGATTTTTTGGTGCCTAGAACTGGCTGCAGCAGAGGCTGTTGCGTTGTGAATTCTGTGCTATTTTCTGGTGTTGATGAACAAAGTCAGAAGAATGTCCCTGACACCCCCACACATGCACATGCCCACTCGCTTTCATCTGTGTTCCAGGCGGGGAGGATTTGGATCACTGGTCCTTGCTCACAGAAGGGGCTGGAGCCTCGGACATTTCTCCCCAGGCCACGGGTCATCAGCCAGAAGAGGAGCTCAAAAAGCCTGACAGTGAGTTGGAATCGCTAGTGTCCTTCTAGCTTGCAGCTGAGGTGGCTGTCACCAGAGGAGAGAGATTGCTCTGAAGGATCCCTGAGACCTTGGAGGGTGGCTCTCAAAATCCGTGCACTGATCCTTCTTGCTTTTTCTGGTGCTTCTGGCCACGTTTGCTTATTTTAGAGTTTCACAGAAGGCAGCCTTAGGAGTTGGAGACGCTGCTGGCAAATGCTCCTGCCTCATGTGTTAATGGGAATGGGACCTCTTTTTAGTCTTTTAAAATTTATCTTACTTTAAATATATATATAGGCTGGGTGTGATGGCTCATGCCTGTAAGCCCAGCACTTTGGGAGGCCAAGGCAGGAGGATTGCTTGAACCCAGGAGTTCGAGACCAGCCTGGGCAGCATAGCAAGCCCTAATCTCAAAAAAAAAAAAAAAAAAAAATTTAAAAATTAGCTAGGCGTGGTGGCACACACCTGTAGTCCCAGCTACTCGGGAGGCTGAGGCCAGAGGGTTGCCTAAGACCAGGAGGTCAAGGCTGCAGTGAGCCGTGATTGTGCCATTGCACTCCAGCCTGGGAGACAGAGTGAGACCCTGATTCAAAACAAAAACAAAAACGATACAGAAGAGTGAAAAGAAGAGTTCAACGCACACTTGTACACTCATAATTGTGAATACTCTGCCAGTTTGCTTTGTGTGTGTATGTGTATAATTTTGTTGCCGAATCATTTTGGAGTAACGTGATGCTTTCTTCCCTAAATACTTAAAGACGCATCTCCAAGAACTAAGAACACTCTCACATACAACCACAATACCATGATTGCCCCAATCAATCAAGAACAATATCCTATTCATTTAATTCCCTGTGAAAAAGATGGGCATATTTGAAAGATATAAAACGGAGGCACTATGCATCTGTCAAAGAATAACTAAAAGGCATTTGGTTATTTATTTTGCAGGACATTTAGTTATTTTTCAGCTATTTTCTCACATGAGATCTGGGAGACAGAGTCAAGGAATAAAAGCAAAACAGTTTATAAATGACAGGGAAGTGAGAGAGGGAAGTTAGGAGTGAGGAAGAAAACCCTGCAGATAGTCTAGGAATGGGGAAGCTTGTTTCTCTTTTTGTGTAAACTGATCAGCTGGCAGCCAGTAGAGGACAATCTGGGCACATTGTTCTTGAACAGGTCTACTGGGGGGTCAAAGGAAACCATTTTGGTTGTCTGTGGCTTCTCCATAAAGTCTCGGGAGTGTGGCTGATGCGTCACTGTGGCAGCCTCTGTGTCACGCTTGCTAGCGTCCTTCTGTCCTCTACCTTAGTGAGGTCGGGCAGCCCCTGGAATTTTTGCAGGTTGGAAGATCAGGACTAGCCTTGCAAAGTGTTTCCAAGTGGGTGCAGGAAGGAGCTGGGGTGGGGGAGACAGGAGACCTGAGTTCTGATGTTGATGATGTGATAGCCTTCTGAGGGAGGGAGGACAAAGGTTATGATCCACAGTTCACAGGGAAAGAGTTGAAGGTCCAGAGAGGTTAACAGACGTACCCAAGGTCACAAAGCTTACTGAACCCCAAGTGGATGTTCACTGATCGGTGAAGTTCAAAGGAAACGGTGGTGTCCAAATTGAATGCTGGAAGGGCTGACCCGAAATTTCCTGCGTAAAACATTCCGGTGTGGCTTAGGACCCTTCCCTGATGGATCTTCCAACCCTCTCTCGGAAGGACCAGCCCCTGGGATGTGGTGCTCTCTCTCCCTTGTGTGGCCTAAGGGGCCGTTGGAAGCTAAGTCCAAGACAGTCAGTATTTGGAGAGTAACCCAGTGAGTTTGCTTCCTTGCAGAAGATGCCATCATCCAGATGATAGTGGAATTCCTCAAAAGAGTGGGAGACCAGTGGGAGGAAGAGGTGAGGAGCAAACTCTCCGTGCACACCCCCAGGGCTTGCCGCTTCCTCCTCCTCCTGCCCTGTCAAGCTCCACCTGTCCCGGCCAGCCTGGCTCAGGCCCCCTTCCCTGCAGCCTCCTTCCTGCTCCAAAGCTCAGCCCTCCTCCTGCCCCGGGCTTCGTGGCCTCCCCGCAGCCTGGCCACCCTTCAGTCGCTTCCAGCAAGCTTTCATCCCCTCCTCAAGATCAAGGGCCTGACCCAGCTTCTCTCCTCTTTCCCATAGCAACTTCAAGCCTCCCAGCCAGAGGCGGACCTGCAAAACTCAGCACCAACCATCAGGAAGAAATCCCAAGAAAAAAAGCCCAGCCCCAGGAGAGCCTTTCCTCTTAAGAAACATAGCTCCGAGGAGCCCAGGAGAGCGGGGGCCGCAGACTCATCCGGTCCGGAGGTCAGGCCGCTCAAGAGGCCCAGCTATCTGCCTCTGTGTGTCGGTGGCGGCCAGCGGCCCTCCAGCTCCAGCAGTGACGGTGAGCAGGCGCAGCGGTTACCTAGCAACACTGCCGCTGCCTCCAGCGCTGGAATCTTCCCCAGGGTGGGAACTGGCCAGCGTAGAGGCTGTGCCTGGCCTGCCTTTTGCGCTGGGCCCTGAGTGATTGTAGGGAGGGCCAAGGGAGGAGAGAAGGAATGCCAGCAGGTCACCTCCACACACGAAACCTCGCTGGGGTCTGGGAAGCCCCGCCAGGTCCTTGATGGGAATTGTGTTCAGAGATTGCCCAACCGTCCACACAACCATCCGACCATCCATGTCTCTAGGCAGCCTCAGCTCTGCACCTTGTCAGGAAGGTGGGTAGTGGGTGCAGGAAGGAGCTGGGGTGGGGGAGACAGGAGACCTGAGTTCTGAGCTGTGCTTTCCATGTCATTTCCCATCTCTGTGCCTCAGTTTCCTCATCTGTATATAAGACATTCCCTATTGCATATCTGTATTTTGATCAGTCCTCACAGCCATCTTACCAAGCACAATTATTATCCCCGCCTTAGAGATGAAGGGCTCGAGGCTTTGGGAGGTAACAATGCGTTCAAGGTCATACGACCCATCAACGATGGGGCATCGGGGAAGAACAGTATCACAAATCATCCTGGTCAGGGGGATTTACATCTTAGAAAGGAAGGGCAGCGCGCAATACCAAAGGGTGGATCTCTAGTGGTGGGATTTCGGGCCGCACGGGGAGATATTTTCATGCAGGGACATTCTGGCCGTGATCTCTTAATTCATGCCATGGAGCCAGGCATCTACTGCTCCGTTTGTGGATCAAGCCAACATGGTGGAGGGGTGAGGGAGCCAAGGGAGGGAGGAGAGGGCAGCAAAGCAGGAAAGCCAGTTCTGTGGGAGGACAAAACATGAGGGAGCTTGGCCTGAGCCAGGAAATCAGAGACCTGGCCCCGCCCAGCCGCTCACTGCCAGCCTGCAAGGCCTTAGTGGCCACACACCCGCTTTAGGGTCCGTGCTTGTTTCTGTGCACAGTCAACTTCCTCAGGCTGTTAACAGGCCCCCTGTTTCATGTTGCTTCTCAGGCTTAGAAGAATCCGAAGTCCAAGAAGCCACGTCTGTAGATGGTGGGGGTCCCAGTCCCTTCCAGCTTTCCCCAGAAGCAGGAAGCCGGGGACCCAGAGAGGAGCTGCAGCTGGACCGAGCCTTGGAGTACAGTCAGTACCTCTCTCTTTCTTGGAGACCCCTTGGTCTGATTCTCTACTTGAAGAAGAGAAACTGAGCCAGAGAGAGCCAGTGTCTGCCTAGAACTCTTTCTGAGTGCAGCAGGCTGTGGGGGCAGCGTGGGGCAGAGCCCAGGCCTGAGCCAGGCCGCTTGTTCCGTACCCTGTCTGAGCCTCAATACACGGCAGTAGTGACAGCACCTTGGTGAGGCAGACACAAGGCGATGGGATGAATGTGCCGGCCCAGGGCAAGGGCTCGGAAGGTGGGGTGGTCTTTAGGGCCAGGGTTTGAATCAGGGCTCTGAACCCTTGGAGCTATGTGAACTTGGGCAAATCCCTTCATCTCTGGCCTCAGTTTCATTTGTAAAATGGGCATAATAATAGTACCTACTTCTTAGAATTGGTGTCAGCTCTAAATGAACTGATGCTGATACGGTATTTAGAGCAGTCCCCTTCAGCGGCTAATATATGCTCATGTCTCTTTGTTGTGATTGTTGTCAGGTGGCCCAGCTTGAGAATAGAGCTCAGGAGAAGCACAGGGGATGAGACGAGGGGTAGGGGCCGTTGGGGGAAGCTCAACGGGTAGGAACTGGCGATTGTTATTGCTTTATCATGGGCAGAGCCAGGCCTAGACTCACATAGATCATCCTAGTCAGTTCTGTGTGTCTGAAAATACTTTTAAAGGTCTCTGCTCTTCCCTCCCCACTCTGCCTTGTTTGCTTTTCACAGAAAGAGTATCTTGAAGGGGGATTGGGAAGGCCCCTTTCTACCTAGTCAGGAGGAAGGTGCAGGGCAAGGAGACAGGCTTTTCCAGGCGGCCCGAGAGGTGCCTTTTCCTGGAGACGGGGCCACATGTCTGTTTAGGGAGTCTCATTGGTGACAAGTGGAAGGGTTCCCAGGGAACCTTCTCTGCCCTTGGGCTGCCTCTGACAGCTCGCTAGTGCCCGGGAGGGTGTGGGATGTGGAACCCAGCCCAGGATCTGTGAGAACCACTCAGGAGTCACGTGGGCCGTAGGAAACCGAGACTGGCCACAGAAGTGCTTTTCTAGACACTGATGTAGCCAAGCTCTCTGATGTCTTTTTAGAGGAATTCATCCAGAATATCATTGCCCTTCTCCAAGACGTGGAGGAACAGAAGGCCGAGAAGGTGAGGAAGATGTTCCCCAGGTAACCCTGAGCTCACTGTGGACTCCCCGTGCCTGGCACAACTTCCCTGCCCTCCCCCAGCTCCGTGTCTTGCCCAAGCCGGGCTCCGATCCCTCCTCCTTCCTGAAGCCTCCCAGGCTCTGGGCCACACTAATTTTTCCCAACACCAAGTCTTCGCTCTTCTCTCTGGCCCACACCTGCTAGGCCCACCATGGCTGTCTTTCCCCAACTCACCTGCCCTCTCCTCAAGGTCAGGCCCCCTGACTCAGTTTCTCTCATCTCACAGCAACCTCAAGACCAGGAAGGAGAAGTGGCTGTAGAAAACCCGGCCCTACCGGGTAGGAGGAAATCTCAAGAGAAAAAGTCCGGCATCAAGAGAGCCTTTTCCCATAAGAGACACAGCTCCAAGGAGCCCAAGGGAGCAGGGGCTGCCAGCCTGGAGGCCCGGCTGCCCAAAAGGTCCAGCCTTCTTCTGCCCCTGTGTGTCGGTGGCCGTCGGGCCTCCAGCAGCCTTGGTGAGCAGGCCGGGTGTTGCCATGGTAACGAAGGCTTCCTCTAGGGCAGGGTTGGCGGCTGTGTGGTGTGTCACGTCTAGTCCCGGCCGCTGCGTTCCTCACTGAGCAGAGTGGGGAGGCCTGGGAGGGCGGGGGAAGCCTGGGGGCCGGTTGCCAGCAGGGCCCCCTACTCACAGCACATTCTCTTCTACACTCATAAATCCTTGGAAACAAATGTGGGTTGAGATCTGTGCGGTGGTGCCTCAGAATCACCTGGAAAGCACACAGAAAAGCAACGAGACCGGCCACGATGAAATAGGATGTGGCTTGGACCTGTGTTTTCACCAAAGCTCGAGGGTCGCTAGTAGACAGTCATTCCCCCGACATTGACGGAGTGCCTGCTACATGTCCCTTCCACACGCAGTATCTCTTTTAATCTCCTCACAACCTTGGGAGGTCAGTCTTATTACTCCCATCTGGCAGATGGAGACAGTGAGGTTCAGACAGGCTAAGCGACTCGGAAAGCCCCACAGAGTTCCGGGGAAGGTAGGCTCACTTGAAGGGATCTGTTGGCACCCCTGTTTGTTTAACTGCCCCACTTCCAGACTCTGAGGAGGCAGAGGGGTGTGGTGGACGAAAGAAGTGGGTTTCTGGAAACGGTCAAGAGAGCAGTGGGAAGTCTGAAGTGGAGCTGGGGGGCAGGGAACTCACGGAAGAGCCTGGAAGCCAAGACCCCCTCCTGTGCCTGTGCCTCTGAGCAGCCTCCTGTCAGGACTTAGACGTAACTCTGTGCGTGTGGATTTGAGACCGGTGCAAAACACACCTACTCTGTTTTTGTCCTCAGATCCAGAAGGTCTCGAGTTCCAGGAGCCCTCACCTGCGGCAGGGGGACCGACTGGGTTCTCAGCAGCACCCTCCCAGGTCAGCAGCCACGAGCCAGAAGGGGGACCACCGCCGAGTGGAGTGTGGGAATCCAGTGAGTATCACCCTGCACTCATCTGGGACAGCTTCCCGGGTGCTTCCCTTCTGTGTGGATTTCACAGCTGAACGGGGAAGACGTTTGCGGAGGGAACTGGGAAGGCAGCCGGCAAATACCCCAGAAGATTCTAGAATGGGGCTGAGGGCACAAACTGGGTCTTCAAACTGGGGCCATGGGGGCAGGGTTGCAGCTGGAGAGTCTTTTGCAGGGAGAGGACACCTGTCTGTTTCGTAGGATGTAACTTAATCTCCCCTCTCTATCAGTTTGCTTGAGTGTTTCATATAAAACTCCTAGCTGGCTCTGGGCCTCATAACTAGTAGTGTGCTGGCAAACAGGGTCTCTGTGATGGTGGAGGGGATGGAGGGGGGCAGGGGAAGGGAGAAATTCCTGCTTTACAGCGTTTGCAGATTTCTATGACATCCATATTTCTTTTCTTTTTCTTTGTTCTTTCTCTCTCTCTCTCTCTCTCTCTCTCTCTCTTTCTTTCTTTCTTTTTTTGTCAGGGTCTCATTCTATTGCCCAGGCTGGAGTGCAATGGCACAGTCGCGGCTCATTGCAGGCTTGACCTCCTGAGTTCAGGCAATCCTTCTGCCTCAGCCTCCCGAATAGCTGGGACTACAGGTGCACACCACCATGCCTGGCTGATTTTTTATTTTTTGTAGAGATGAGGTCTCACTATGTTATCTAGGTTGGTCTCGAACTCCTGGGCTCAAGCAGTAACCTCTTGCCTCAGCCTCCCAAAGTACTGGGATTACAGGCATGAGCCACCATGCCTGGCCAATTCCTTCAGTTTCTATAAAGCAAGCCCAGACAAAGCTCTCATGATCCAGCTCTGGTTTAAGGGAAGGTTTTTCATGGTCCATCATAACTCAGCTGTGTGCTGAGTTTTAAAGGTGAAAAACTGCCTTTTATTGATGGAAGTGTTGATGCCGCACTTTTATCACAGGAAGTGAACTAGGCATCCCGCTGCCCACAGTCGCTCAGCCCTTCCGTTTTCTCCTTAGAGGAGCTCATCATCCAGAAGCTGGTGGCACTCCTCCAAAAAGTGGACGGCCAGTTGGGGCAGCAGGTAAACACCGATCAGTCCTCCCCCCAGTCCAACCCCCGGGTCTCACTACCCCCAGCTGACATCTGCGTTCAGTACCCAACTCTGCACCTCAGAGCAACTCTGGAAATGCCCCTTAACCTCTTTGAGCCTCAATCTCCTCTTTTGCAAAATGAGCAATAATTACTACTTGACCACGCTCAGTGCATACGTAGAAAGCACTAGAAATGACGCGGCTGAGGTACTGTTAGTTTAAAATGACACGATGCCATGCGTCTCCCCTGCCAGCCAGGACTTCCCCAACCCAGGCCCTCGTTGAAGCTCCGCTCCCGTCCCCTCTCCCCGCAAGCCTTCTCCGCTCACGCCTGGCCCGCCAGTCCAGCGGGTGCTCCCCTCTGCGGTCTCCCTGCACACTCTCGGTCTTGGTCATGCACTTCTGCATTTACGTGGGCTCCGATTCGCTCGAGCTCGTTGGTGTTCCTCCCCTGCTAGACCGCCAGTGACAGAAGGCTCCCTACCCCTGAAAAACACAGGCGGCTTGGAGCGATCACGTGGGAAGACGGCGGGTTACGGATGAGTAATCCGTGTAGCTGACGCTGCGTGTGCCTCGTGTCGCCACCAGAGGGCGCCCCGGCCCAAGTCCCAAAGCCTGGGGACCCTGAGCCGTTTGGCCACCCGCGTGGTGGGTGGAAGTCACAGCCTCCACTTCTCCAAGAGCAGCCCTCAACGGATGGCTGACGCGAGTTGGTGTATAAGGACCCCGGCTCCCTCGCCCTTGAAAGCCGTAACCCTGAGGAGTGTGTTCCAGGCGCCTGGTGCGCCCCGAGGGGATTGAACTCCAGGGGCCCTCCTGTCTGGGTTACCTTCCCTTCCCTGTCCCAGCCTCTCTTCCCCCACCAGGGTCTCCTGGGATTACTTAACAAATAAATGAGCTGCCCCAGGTCTTTGTGCCTGGGTCTAACTCTGGGGGAGCCCATCATAACACATTTAGATGTTAAGAGGAGAGAACTTGCCAGAGGAGACTGGAGTGGGAGCCAAAATTCATCTAATATCCACTCCTTACTAAGCATTTTATCTCACAGCTACCCTCCCCCAAGAATCCTAAGGCTGGGTGGGAGGATATTAGTACTCCCACTTGACGATGACCAAACAGGCTCAGCATGGTCGCAGAACTAGTGAGTGCTGTTTGAGCATCCCAATTCTAGACCTTTAGAAGATGTAAATAGCTGGGCTCCATGGCTCAGCCTGTAATCCCACGCCTTTGGGAGGGTGAGGTGAGTGAACTGCCTGAGCCTGCGGTTTCGAGACCCTCCTGGGCAGCGAGACCTCATCTCTACAATAAATCAAAAAATCAGCCAGGTGTGGTAGCGCATGCCTGTAATTCCGGCTACTTGGAAGGCTGAGGCGGAGGGATCGCTGAAGCCCAGCTGGGTGACAGAGTGAGACTCCAACTCAAAAAAACCCAAAAAACGAAGATGTAAATAACAAAGTAAGGTCATTATCAATTAAGAGGTGATGGAGGGAGATGAGAGGGCTCTGTGGACTGTTGGGTTCCGAGTTACCTGAGTCTAAAGACCCATAGTCCACTCTACCCACCCGCCCCTTCGAGCTGGACCCTGTAGAACTTAACAGGGGAGTTGACCCCAGGCCAAGGAGATGCCCAGCCTGGCTGTGTGGAGTTGGTGGGACAAGGTCCCTGGTGGCAACATTAACAGCCTGCCTTCATTTCTGCTTCCAGATCAGGCGACACCCCAGCTTTAAAAGGTTTTTTTACAAGTTCTCCAACTCCTCCCTCAGCAAACTGGTGGCCACCCTGAGCAGCCAGGTGGGCCACTCCTCCGAGCTGGACACCAAGAGACCCTACCATTTTGACTTTAGCTTGGCGAACCGACTTGCCGGCAACAGCAGCCACGCCCTCTGCATCCTCATGGGCCGAAGAGACCACTACAATTGCAGCCATTTCCCGTACAGAGAGGCTCAGCCGGTGAGAGAGGGCGGGAAAGACGGTGGCAAGGTGGCACAAGTGACAAGGCCTCCCGTGGGATCTCCTTACTGTCCTCTCCCCTCCCCTGCTTAGTTCAGAAATTTCTGGGTCCAGCTCACATGCCACCTTCTCGCTGAAGCCTTCTGAGACAATTCTAAACCACAGTGACCTTTTTTCTTTTCCAAAACCTCACTGATTTTACTCCATAATTGGCACTTTCTTTGTTTGGCTCTGGTCTCCAGTTATATGTACATTTTCCTACTTTTTGATATGAATGTGACATATTGGACTGGCTCCTATCTTAGCTTGCCTCGTTATTATTTCATAGGTTCTGCTGCTTGGCTTCCCAATTCCAGGCTGTTGTAACATGTAAATAACAAAGTAAGGTTATATATCAGATAAGGACTGGTTGAGGTAGACCAAAAGGCTCCATGCGCTGCGTGGTTCTGGAAGGCTTCCAGGAAGTGACCATTCACTGACCTTGCCTTGGCTGACGGGTTAACAACAGCTTCTGGCTAGCATGCTGTGACTCACACCTGTAATCCCAGCACTTTTGGAAGGTTGCTTGTGCCCAGGAGTTTGAGACTGTTGCAACCTGGGCAACACAGTAAAACCCTGTCTCTCAATAATAATAATAATAATAATAATAATAATAAAAAAGCTTTTCCCTGCCATCACCCTCACTGTTCTGTTTGCTTCCAGGGTTTCTCTAATAATCCCTTTAGAAATGATTCACGGCACTGTGTTTTTAAAAACTCTATGCTTTCCTGTTTCCTGGCAGACTCTGATAAACAGATTTTCCATCCTTTTCAAATTCACTGCTGAGAACCTGTTTACAAACATTTGGCCAGATCTATAGAGTAGAAGCTACTGTATGAAGGTGTGACTCTTCTGTTCACTGGTGTTGGACAAACAGGACAGGGCTTCCACTTGCAAGGGGTCCCCTGGGAAACCCAGACTCTCATTGCAATGGTGTTTTACAATCACTCAAACATTTCTGTCTTCCTCTCCTGGAATTATTCTTTAGAAACCATTTGAGACATGTCTCAGGAAAGCTGGTCTTATTTTGTGATATTGTGCCTTGTCTTTTTTTTTTTTTTTTTTTTTGAGGTGAGAAAGCAGGAGTTTATTAAGAAGACCAAAAAAGCTCCCAAGTGGGAGGGGACCCGAAAAAGGGTTGCCCGTGCCTTGTCATTCAAATGCTCTGCTCTACCTTGGCTTGTTCCCCTAGTGGACCACAGACCTTTCTTTTCTTTTCTTTCTTTTTTTTTATTTTGAGTTGGAGTCTCACTCTGTCGCCCAGACTGGAGTTTGGTGGCATGCTCCCAGCCACCGCAGCCTCAACCTGCTGGGCTCCGGCGATCCTTCCGCCTCAGCCTTCTAAGTAGCCGGAACTACAGGCGCGCACTACCACACCTGGCTAATTTTTGATTTATTGTAGAGACGAGGGCTTGCCAAGTTGTCTGGGTGGGCCTCGAACCTGCGGGCTCAGGCAATCCACTTGCCTCGGCCTCCCAGAGTGCTGGGATTACAGGCTGAGCCCGGCCAGACCTCTCATTTCTCGGTCCCCCCTGACATTCCTGGAGAATGGGGATGTCACAGATGATTTGTTCTCTAGGGTGGGTTAGGTAATAGCTTACAGGGTGATCTAAGTTCTTTGTGAAAGATATTATGGAACCATCAGTTCTGACATCCTCATTTGCCCTAACACTTCTGGTTTTACTACTCAGTCATTCATTCGTTCACTCACTCATTTGTTCAACCCGTGGATATTGGCAGTCTCATATGTGCTTATAGCTGTGCATGGTGCCAGGAGGCTCTGATGAAGGTTCTGTCTTCAAAGACTTCATCTGCTCATAGAGAAGACAAATGTTTACTGATGACAAAATTAAATAGCAATCGAGTGTCAAGCGTATGGTGACTGAGGCCAGTGAAGCCAGCTGGCCCTGGGAGCCTTCCTGGAGACGGCAGATACAGATTTGGACCTTTGGGGAAGGCGAGGCAGTGCGGGGAGAAAGGGTGGGGGAGCAGTGTCGGCAGGAGGTGGGGGCTTGTGCAGGGCATTGATGGGGTAATGAGAAGTCATCGTTACCAGTGTGGGATCCACACATAACTGGGCTGTGGCTGACAATTATGTTCTTTTTCTCTGCACAGAACGTCACAAGTCCTGAGAGTCAAAGTCCAGACTGAAAGCTGGGCTTGCCCTCGAGCAACCTCACCCTCGCCACACAATCGCTTTGACTAGAGACCCTGAAGATGATCCGAGATGTCCCCGTCTCGTGCTTCACAAACATAGCTGAAGACCAGGGCAGATGGCCACTCGGTGTCCACACACTCCGTCGAGCAATGTGCAGAGCGTTCTTCCACAAGGCGACGGGCAGAGGTCATATCGGCGCTGACCTGGGAGTGAGGAGACCAGGGCTCCCCTGCCGAACCTGCCCCCACCTGCTGCAAGACCCCGCACGCGTCCCCTCGCCCTCCACATCTTGGACTCTAGGCTGTCACCCGGAAGGCCCGCGAATGCTTTTCAGATGTCAGTTTTAACTGGGTCTAAAAAATTGAATTTTAAAAACTGAGTCTAAAACTGAGTTTCAGGCCGGGCGTGGTGACTCACACCTGTAATCCCAATGCCTTAGAAGGCTAGGGTAGGAGGATCATTTGAGCCTGGGAATTTGGGATCAGTCTGGGCAATATAGCAAAGCCTCATCTCTACAAAAAAAGAATCAAAAAAATTAGCCAGACATGGTGGCACGTGCCAGCTACTTGGGAGGCTGAGGTGGAAGGATCACCTGAGCCCAGGAGCTAGGGGCTATGGTGAGCTGTGATCGTGCCTCTGCACTCCAGCCTGGGAGACAGAGTGAGCTCCCCATACAACCAAATAGTTTTAAAAATAAAATGTTATTTAATCTCTAACCAGAACATCCACACACATCCAGATGTGTATCTAAGTGTAACACACCATTAATTCAGTTGGCCAGCAATTCTTAATACTCATATGCCCAGGAACTCTGCAGGTCACAGATAGGGGAGACCTACGGACTGAGGACTCTGGATTTCTCACAGGGTTAGTCCTTCTAACCCTGTCATATAATTCTATGACCAGAGAAGTGAAGCTGACACCTTGAGCCTCTCTCATCTCATGGGGTCTGCTAAGAGTTAGTGAGAACACAGATGCAGGCTGGTGGCTCAGCTTGTAATCCCAGCACTTTGGGAGGTCGAGGCGAGTGGATTGCCTGAGCCTGCAGGTTCGAGACCCGCCTGGGAAAATTGACGAGACCTCGTCTCTACAGTAAATCAAAAAAATTAGCCAGGCGTGGTAGCGTGCACCTGTAGTTCCGGCTACTTGGAAGGCTGAAGCGGAAGGATCATCGGAGTCTAGCAGGCTGAGGCTGCAGTGGCCGGGAGCATGCCACTGCTCTCCAGTCTGGGCAATTGAGTGAGACTCCAACTCAAAAAGAGAGAGAGAGAGAGAGAGAGAGAGAACACAGATGTGAAGAGTTCTGAAAATGACATAGTGCCATGTCTACATATGTTGTTATTCTCATGATAGCAACATCTGGGGGGTTTTTGGAAAGTGGAGGAGGGCTTCAAGTGGGACTGCCGTGGATGGTAGCACAGGTGTGCCCTACTCAAGAGCACCATGTCCCATGAGGTGCTATTAACATCCTAAGCATTGGATCTGTAGATGACGATGACGATTTTCCAGCCAATGGCGGTCAAGTGTCTTGAGAATGGGGCTCTTTTTTGTGTTTTCACAAAGGTGAGGCTACACAGCTGAACAGTTTAAATGATTTGACTCAGGTGGGCAGTTTTTCACGTGTCCATCTCTTATGTGCCAGCAGGACAAGAATGCAGACATTGGCTCCCCTGGAGGTCGCCTGGAATGTGTAGCTGTAGGGGAGGATTGCTGAAACCCAGAGGACAGGCTATCTCCTGTTATTCTCAGGGGACGTGGGTTGGCCCAGGTGAACCTGTGGGAGCACTGTGGGGTGGGGCTGGGGAGGAGGAGGAGCTGAGGACACATCCAATGGGCCTGGCCTCCAACCCGAGGCTAAGTCTTAGGAAGCTCAGCTAAGCCTCTCCTGAAAGCCGTTTCATTTCGTGGCTGCTGCTGAGATGTCGGGAAGTGGCAAGTTATTTCTGGATGTGTTTCGGACAGTGTTCTGGAACACAGCACCTGTATGTGAGGCCTGGGGGAAGTTTTGAAATGAAGGTCAGGAACCTTTTGTATGTAGTTTCTTATTGGAATGACATTCTTTATTGTATGAGTATTTGGTATGAGTCCCCGATGCTGGCATCTGACTCTCATTTTTGTACTATATTATTTGAGCAAATAAAGAAATTGATTTCTTTATTTTATGTGTGTGATCCAGGTGACTCAACAGGGAGGCAAGAGAGATGTTCACCTGCCACATCTATGATAGTCTGGTGCCCGCAAGGCTGCAGGGGTCAGCCTCCTTGTCTCTGCCTGGTCTCTCTGTAACTGTCCCCCGGTTCCAATCCTAGAGTGCTAACTCACTGAGACAGTAAAAAGGTGTCCTGGGCTGGGTGTCAGGAAACCTGGGTCCTTGGGGGACAAGATCACCAGATCTGACATTCTACAACTCTTGTGACTCTCAAGGTGACAGTTCATAGTATGTCCAGGAAAATCTGGATCGGTCCTGAGTCTACCTCATCTCTTATTAGTCCCTAAACTGTGGTGCCCAAATTCTGTCACTTGGAACCAGCATAAAAATGATCAAGGCTGGCGTGATGGCTCACACCTGTAATCCCAGCATTTTGGGAGGCTGAGGTGGAAAGATTGCTTGAGGCCAGGAGTTCAAGACCAGCCTGAGCAACATAGTGACACTTTGTGTCTACAAAAAACTTTTTTTTTTTTTAATTGTCAGAATGAAGCGCTAGGTTTCTGGTCCAGACAATGTGGCCTCCATGGAAAGACATTAAAGGCATCCTTTCCCCTCCCCCAGATGACACACGAGTGTCCATTCCCCAATCCTTAGTGTCTCATCGTGTGCTCAGAGGAAAGACAGAGAGAAGGCAGTGTTATTACCCTCCTCTCACAGGCGAGGAAGCAGGCTGAGTGGGAAGTGTCTTGTTCAAGGTCACACAACCAGCTGCAGAGAGAACCAGGAACTCCTTTAGGTGCCTCTCATCATTGCCTACTCGATGAGTTCATTTAGTCATCGGGTGTTCACTGAGCACTTACTATGTACCTGGTACGACGCTAATTCTGTGGAATAAGCAATCGCAAAAGCACGGCCCCTGCCCTCTGGAGGCTCACGGACCCCACTGGTTATGGGGCTTTTGTGCCAGTAGGGATACAGGGGAGTGGGACACCCTGTGAGGATGCTGTGTGATGGTGGGCTCTCTCAACTCCCACCCCAGCTGCTTTCACAAGGGCACTGAGGTGTGTGAGGGGTCCTGCTGCTTTGTATGGATTTTAAAAGGCAAACAAGTGACATCATGACATCATTAACCTAATTTCCTCTCTCTCAGAAGGGAAGAGCCTGGGTGGGTGAGTCAGAGACAATGGGGTGAGCTGAGAACCGGTTGAGTCGGAGGGGTGAGCCAGTTACAGGTAGGGTTGTGCCATAGGGTGTCATTCAGGTGTGCTTGTTTGGAAGACAAGACTGTATCCTTGCCCTTGGCACTAGTGAGATCTCCCAATTTCAAAGCACAGTGGCTGGCACGTAAATAACAATTTATTAGTAGGCCAGGCACAATGGCTCCCACCTGTAATCCCAGCACTTTAGGAGGCCAAGCCGGGAGGATTGCTTGAGACCAGGAATTCAAGACCAGCCTGGGTAACATAGCAAGACCTTGTCTCTACAAAAAATAAAAAAATGAGTCGGATATGATGGCGTGCCTGTAGTTCCAGCTACTCAGGAGGCTGAGGCTGGAGGATTGCCTGAGCCCAGGAGATAGGGATTGCAGTGAACCATGATCATGCCTCTGCACTCCAACCTGGACGACAGAGTGAGATCCAACCAAAAATCCATTAGTGTTCATTAAAAAAGAGAGAGAGATTGAAAAGGAGAAAGGAACTCATTAGGGTTGCCAGATTTGGCAAATAAAAATACAGGAGACCCAGCTAAATTTGAATTTCAGATAAACAATAAATAATTACACTATTGGAGACGTGTCTACTAAATAGTTATTCATTTAGTAATTCAAATTTAACTAGGCCTCCTGTATTTATTTGGCAACTCTGAAACTGAGATAAGAACAATTCTTTCTCCTCCACCTTGGGGAGGTGAATCTTCTCTCTCTGTTCTCTTTCTCTCTCTACCTTTTTTTTTTTTTGAGTTGGAGTCTCACTCTGTCGCCCAGACTGGAGTGCAGTGGCCACTGCCAGCCACCGCAGCCTCGACCTGCTGGGCTCCGGTGATCTTTCCGCCTCAGCCTTCCAAGTAGCCAGAATTACAGGCATGCGCTACCACACCCGGCTGATTTTTTGATTTATTGTAGAGGTGAGGTCTCGCTGCCCAGGCGGGTCTCGAACCCGCAGGCTCAGGCAATTCACTCACCTCAGCCTCCCAAAGGCACGGGATTACAGAGCCCGGCTTCTCTCTACTTTTAAATACACCGAACCCGGCTTCTCTCTACTTTTAAATAAACTTTTCTTTCTTTGCCTCAAAAAAAAAAAAGAACAATTATTTTAACGACCTCAAAACCAGAAAAGAAATGAACTGAAGTGAAGGCCCGTGTGCCAGGGAGTTTACTGATACTCAGACCATAGCTGACATGAAGGTCACCTGGGCCCTAAATAGGGCTCTGAGTAAAACCATTATGACTATTCAGTCAACCATTCCCCTGGGTACTAGGGGATAAGCAAACCCGAGCTGTGCAAGAGAGAAGCCCTCCCTGCTTCAGGTTCACAGGCCTCAGGCTTCTGTGGACAAGGAGACCATTTCTGGAAGAAAATCCTGCAGCCGGGTAGGTCACACCAGTCTGTCTCTTTCCCGCCAACCAACCTCCAGAAGCTTCCCTTGGCTGGTCTGGACCACAGCACCAACCCGAAGAGGCCAAGGGTGAGGACACCTTGGTCTTTGGGCCTCCTCCAAGTTTCTCAAAGCACATCTTGTTTCCTGAAATGGCCCTGTTAATTGTGGCTCCCCTGGGGCCCCCTTCCACAGCCCCGCCCTGCAGGGGCTGACACTTGTGCATGGCCCCTCAGGCTTCTGGATCTGGTGTAACCCTGTCCCACACCCATTTTCTCTGGGTTTTGCATTTAGGGACTTCGCAAGCAAATGTGTCTGAGGCCCGTGGGCAGCCTGGGCTTCCTTCCTGGACCCACCTGGGCCTAGTGGTCATCAGCTCTCTGGGAGCCAGCGGTGGCCCACTTTTTTCTGTATGGGCTGGAAACATTGAGGCTGAAGATGTCTTTCTCATGGAACACGTTCACTGTGGTATGGACGGTGGAGAGAGACTCTGTCTGTCTTCGCTTGTGCTGGGGGAGGGGAAGGGACACGGGGCCTCTCGTTTCTGCTACAGTTCCCTAGAGCCATACCAGGACCCTGAAGTCCAGGGCAGCCTGTGTCGATGTGGGCATACCCCACGGTCCCTGGGAGCTCTGAAGATCCCAGTGCCCAGGCAGCCAGATCAACTCCATTAGGCGACTCCAGTGACCAGCCCAGGCCGAGCCTTTAGGACATCGGGAGAATTAAGAACAAAACAAAAGAAGAACTTGGTCTCTCTTTTGGCCAGATGCAGTGTCTCACACCTCTAAACCCAGTCCTCTGGGAGGCTGAGGTGGGAGGACTGCTTGAGCTCAGGAGTTCGAGACCAGCCTAGGCAACATAGTGAGACCTCATCTCTACAAAATATCAAAAAATTAGCTGGGCATAGTGGCACATGCTTGTAGCCCCCCAGGGGAGGCTGAGGCAGAAGGATCGCCTGAGTCTAGGAAGTTGAGGCTGCGGTGAGAGCCGTGAGTGTGCCACTGCACTCCAGACTGGGTGACAGAGTGAAGCCAACTCAAAAAAAAAAAAGAAGAAGAAGAAGAAGAAGAACTTGGTCTCTCGACACCACAGGAAACAGGAAACTGTGTCCTTGGCTCAGTCCTAATGGACTCCCCCAAGAGTTTTCCCTTGTGGACTGGGTCCTGGGGAGACTAGGAATGGGCTGGCTGGTCTCGGAGATGCAAACGCAGACAGAGGCTGGGAGGAAGGTCCCTCAGTGCTAGTCAGTGCTGGTGTCCATCAGTCGGTCTAGAGCAGGGCAGTGGAAGGCTTGGAAGGACAGCCAGGAAGCTGAGACAATCAGCCCATGGAGGAAACACCCAACTGGCAGTGGGTGTCGCTCCTGGGCCCCGAAAGGCCTGGGGTCAGGGGAGGGTATCTGAGGGCAGTGGGGAGCAGGCTCAGCCTCAGGTTCCCCAACTTCTCTCCTGCTCCCGCTCTGGTTTCCTCTCTTGATTCACAGCTTCCTAGGAAAAGGACACAGATTCGTTACGTCCGAGTCCCCCATTTAGTACCTTCCTAACCCTGGTTCCTCTGAGGACATCCTTTACAGCTTCATTCACCTGTGGCAAGTAGCCAGGTCCCTTCATAGCTGACCTGATGCACAGAGTTTGGAGATCTCCATTTCTGCCAAAGGCAGTTATTATACAAGGGTCCTTGGCTGCTCAGCAAATGGAATTCTCCACTGAGAGATGATAAAATGGTGTTTGAAACATTGTTCAGTTTACAAAAGTTAAGCTGACACCCGATTTTCAAGGAAGAGAGTAGGGGTGGAGTGGTCCCCAGATCAATGAGCACAGTTGTGCAGGTTGTACACTATACAAGGGCACAATGCCCTACATAAGGGGTAAGTGACTCATAGAGTGTTCATATGTGTGTTTTTGTGTTATTTGTACAGTTTCCTAGCAGTTGGCAGTCAAATGTCTTGTTCTATCAAAGTCAGTACATTCTGACAATTTTCCAGCAGCTGGCAGTCAAGTTCTCTAGGAAGGGACGCAATTTTCTTAGTGTACTAGGTGCTGCCTGGGCTAGTGTTGACCTTAACTGTGACTGGAAAGGGAAAGATGGGAGAAGCAATGAAGCTGAATTGATGAGCATGGGTCACCACAGCATCCCGGGACAGGACAGGCAGCATCTACCCTCCGGGGCCCTCCGAGGGAATCCCACACCTCAGGGCAGCTGTGTTCCTGGATCCAGCTGGGCTGAGGTCTACAGGTGACCCAAACTGTCTCGGAAGTGGGGAGCAGACCTGGACGGGCGGGGCTGAGGCAGCACACATGAGGGGAAAGGAGACAAGAGGGGAAACCAGGAGACCTGAGTTCCAAGCCCTACCTCCACTTGTTCTGTGACCCTGGGTAAGTCACTTGCCCTCTCTGGGAGACTGGAGAAAGACCCCTGCACAGTCCCGCGTTCTGCCGAGATGTGGACTTGCACATTCTTGGATCATCTTCAAAAGTCTCCGTCATTTTCAAATCTGTCACCTTGTTGCTTGAACCCCACGACAGCTCCCCCGCACCACAGGGCAAGTCCAACCTCATCAGCAGGGCCTCCAAGCCTGCCTGACCTACGTCCTGCCATGCCTCCAAGTTCACCTCCAGCCTCTCCCTCCCTCCATCCATGCAGCCGCTTGTGTAGACTACTGCTTCTTGGTTCTGGGCCACCTCTGTCCCTGCAGTAGCCTCCCCTACACCACCCCACCCCCAGCCTGACTAACTCCCTCTCACCTTCCTCCCCTCCCCCAGGAAACCTTCCCTGAGATCCTCCAGCTGACAGCATGAGTTTGCTGCCTCTCCTCTGTGCTGTTCTCCTCTCTGAAGCCAGTGGTTCAAGTACAGACTGCTGGGCCCAGTCCTGGTTTTTGATTCGGTAGGTCTGGGGTGGGCCCAAGAATGTGCATTCCTAATGTGCTCCCAGGAGATGCTGATGCTGCTGATCTCGGGATTGCATTTAGAGAGCCTCCGGTGGAGGCAGATCCCTCTGACTGATCTATTTTCAGGGCGTTCTCCTGCCAGTTAACTGAGAACAGGCTGACCTCTGTCGTGTCCCCAGAGTCCACCGAAGAGGGACTAATTACAAGTGGGTCGAATAGATAGAGGTTGATTACAAGAGCATTATGTACAGAAAATAACTAGGAATATAAGGTCTTACACAGTAGGTAGCATATTGTAGCATTTTCATAAAAATTTTAAAAAGCCTGTCTGTGCATGTTAGGAAAATATGGAAGGGTATTTACCAAAATATTAATATCTGGGTTTTGGGGTTCTGGCAATTAAAACAAAATTATGCTTTTCTAAATTTAAATTTTTTTTTGGTTGCTGTTAATGAGTACATGTTGGTTTTAAAACATGTTGGGGAAAAAGCCATGCATGGAGGTGCACGCCTGTGATCCCAGCACTTTGGGAGGCTAAGGCGGGAAGATCACTTGAGCTGAGGAGTTTGAGACCAGCCTGGGTGACATAGCAAGACCTCATCTCTACAGAAAATAAAAAAATTAGCCAGGCGTTGTGGCATGTGCCTGTAATCCCAGCTACCTGCTGAGGTGGGAGGATTGCTTGATCCCAGGCATTTGAGGCTGTGGTGAACTATGATTGTGCCTGGGTGATAGAAAAGCAAGAAAACTGCCCATCCTATGAAGAATGTAGGTATGAAACAAAAGATATATGAATAATGTCTCTTTCAGGTGACACTTATGTTGGGCTAATATAGGGATTCCCTGCCCAGCGTCACAAGTAGCTGACTTGTTTCTTCGTGTCCTTCCTTCTTGCATTCAGAGACCCTCTCTCTGCTCCTTCCTCCCAGGCCTACAAGCTGTCTGGGACCCTTCCAAATATCCACGCAGGCCTGGGCACTGGTCTTAAGGACCTGACATGTCTCTGCTACCTAGAATTGCCCAGGACATTTGAACATTCATCTTCTCATTTAAGCCCCAAATGGCTGTGGGATGAAGGGAGGGTAGACCTTATAGAGACAAACAGAGACTCTGTGGCGGGCACAGGGGCTCACACCTATGATCCCAGCACTTTGGGAGGCTGAGGTGGAAGGATTGCTTGAGCCTAGAAGTTCGAGGCTAGCCTAGGCAATGTAGTGAGACCTTGGCTTTACAGAAAAACCCCAACAAATTAGCTGGGCATGGTGTTGCGAGCCTGTAGTCCCAGCTACTTGAGAGGCCGAGGTGGAAGGATTGCCTGAGCCCAGGATTTTGAGGCTGTAGTGAGCCGTGATTGTGCCACTGTATTGCAGCCCGGGTGACAGAGTGAGACTACAACTCAGGGAGAGAGAGAAAGAGAGAGAATGAAATGGAGCCTCCCATTAAGTAAAGTGACTTGCCCATTAAGAAAAGTGACATGCCCAAATGGAGAAACCAGGACTAAGTCTTACTTGCCCAGACTCTGATGTAGGCCTTTGGCCAGCAGGGTGAGCCTCTGACCCTCAGCTGATAAATCCCTGCACCTACCCAGGGACTCCTACCTGGGACAAGAGCAACCAGGAAGGATGTTACTTAAGACAATTCGAGACTTTTCCAACCAAAACAAATTAAATGTGGAGAGGATCTGTTCTATACAGAGAATACTATATACTGTTCTATACAGAGTTACCTTGACTGGACTTGAACTCCTGACTTAAGGGATCCTCCTGCCTCAGCCTCCCGAGTTCCTGGGACTGCAGGTACATGCCAGCACACCTAGTCAATTCAGAGAACACTTTGATAATCCAGTTAAATAATTGGAGCTAATACCCAGGTTGGTTTGTGTTTGAGGCTGGTATTTTGAATTTCTGAATGCATTTATATATACATGAACAATATGCATGTGCCTTTAATGAAAATATTATGGTTCAGTAAAAAATTGAAAACCTGATTTTGGAGGGGTTCAAAGTTCAGCAAATTGGTAGATTTTATTCTTGTCTTTGATCTTAAGTTAGATTAGGGGTGAAGTGTTGAAAAGGATAAAGTTCCGTTTTTTAAAAATTTTGCCAGCATCCAGGAGAGCGTTTGGCACTTAGTAGGTGCTCAATACATATTGACTCACTGAACCAATGGCAATGTGATATAGTGAAAAAGCTATAAGAAGCAGGCCTGCATTGATTAGGGGTCCCAGCCATGCGCTGGCAACAGTTTGGAGTTGTGATGGGTTGAGGATCATGTAAGTATCCACTTGTCTAGCCTGGCTTTTAAGTGGAGTCTATTCAGAAGCTGAGAGGAGTTAGTTAACTTCTGGAAGTTAGTCACCGTAATACCTACTGCTTTTTCATGTTTGTGAGTTGGAGTCTCGCTCTGTCACCCAGTTTGGAGTGCAGTGGCACAATCACAGCTACTGCAGCCTCAACCAATCAGACCTAGGTGATCCTTCCACCTCAGCCTTCCAAGAAGCTGAGACTGCAGGTGTGTCCCATCACGCCCAGATAATTTTTTGATATATTGTAGAGACGAGGTCTCACCGAGTTGCCGAGGCCTCGAACTCCTGGGTTTAAGCAATCCTTTCAGCCCAGCTTCCCAAAGTGTTGGGATTACAGGCATGCGCCACCGTGCCTGGCCAATACCTACTTCTTAGTGAGTGCTATTACACATGCTGCACTCCATGAAGTAATTTACACAGTTGACTGCATTCAATTCTCGCAAACTTGTAAGTCGATATCATCCCCATTTTACAGATCAAGGAATGGAGGCTCAGAGAAACCAAATGTCCTAACCACTATCGCTGAGGACGTGGTAGAGCAGGGAGCTTATGTCAGATGTGTCTAACTCCAAAGTCCCACCTCCCAGCCCCCCTCCTTGATAACTCCCCATGCTCCTTGGACTCTTTCTGTATATGGTTCCCAAAGTTTCTCCTCCCCGTGAGATTTAAGAAACATCAGTCATGCTCACTGCACTTTGTTGCTTGGCTTCTTAGGTCTCGGTTGTCTTGGGAAGCCTTTTCTATTGACACTTGTCTTTTGTCTGTTCTTCTTAAAGATCTTATTTATCCAGTTTGAGTTTTCAGCAGGGTTCTCCCTGGGCAAAGAGATGAAGTAGACGGTTTGTTATTGGCCTGTCCTGGTCCCCCCAGTATCGGGGCCCCACTCAGTTCAGAAGGTAGACATACCCACCTGTACACCTCAACTCTGCCTGAGCAGCAGAGGTCCCCAGCAAACTTTTTTTTTTTTTGAGTTGGGGTGTCACTCTGTCACCCAGACTGGAGCACAGTGGCACGATCATGGCTCACGGCAGACCCGACCTCCTGGGCTCAGGCAATTTTTCAGCCTCAGCCTTCTGAGTAACTGGGACTGCAGGTGCGCACCACCACGCCCAGCTAATGTTTTTACTTTTTGTAGAGATGGAGTCTTGCTATGATGCCCAAGCTAGATCAGCAATTAAAAATATATATATAATCAATGAATAGCTGTTTAAGTAATATCATGCCAACTAGTGAACTGAAACTCAAACTTATATGTAGCTATATGTAAATACAAAAAAATTTAAATCATGTGAACCAAATATGTAATTTGTGCCCAAGGTCAAAATTATTAAATTTATACAAAGTCTTTTAAAAAGTCTTATAGTTAAAATTATGCTAAATGTGGAAAGCTGGTATATTTTAATTTTATGTGCTAGGGAGTGCAAACATCAAAAGTAAAAAGTCTGAGCCTGGTGCGGGGACTCACGCCTGTAATCCCAGCACTTTGGGAGGCCAAGACATGAGGATTACTTGAGCCCAGAAGTTCCAGACCAGCTTGGGTAACATAGCAAAACCTCGTTCCTAAAAACAAACAAACAAACAAACAAAACTTTTTTTAATTAGCTGGACACGGTGGCACACTCCTGTAGTCCCAGCTACTTTTGAGACTGAGGTGGAAGGATGGCCTAAATCCAGCAGGTTGAGGCTGCAGTGAGCTGTGTGTGTGCCACTGCACTCCAGCCTGGGTGACAGAAGAAGACTCCAGCTCGAAAATAAATAGATCAAAAGAATGCTTTGGGTCCTGCTCTACCAACCTCTTTAGTTGTGGCCCTGGAGAAATCCAGCCATGACTAGAGTGGGCCCCAGGGCAAGGAGGGATGACCATGGGGGTGGGGTATGGGTATGGGAGGAGAAATACCCTTGAGCCCCCTCTGATCTCCTGCAGTGCCTTCCATTGGCTAATCCAACTGGCATTCAGCCAGCAAGAGAGTCTTGCTAATGTGGTCCCCAGGAAAGCTTAAAAAAAAAGATGCCTAGGCTTTTCATAATTATTGCAAAGATAATCATGAAGTCTACAAGTATGTTACACAACCCAGACACTTGATGTGCATTATAGGAAGGATGTTCTGGGGACCATCTATAGCATAGGACTATTAGGTCCTTATTATAGTAACAGAAAATCACTGGGACAACGGGGACCTCGGATAGAGCCCTCAGTTCATACCAGGCAGGAGCTACCTAGGGCTGGGATGGAGGATGCCTGCTGGCCCTCTGGAACTGTGGCATCACCAGAGAGTAAATAATGAGCAAGTGGGAGGGGGGATGCACAAGATCCCACCGCACCCAAAGAAGGAGCGTCCCCAGCGTGCATAGGAGGGAACGGAAAAGGACGACGTGGTCAACACAGACGGGCTCGTTCCCCACACGTCATCTCACTGAACAAAAGAGAAGGGGTGGTCAGGCACGGTGCCTCACACCTGTCATTCCAGCACTTTGGGAGACCAAGGCAAGAGGATCGCTTGAGTGCAGGAGTCTGAGACTAGCCTAGGCAACATAGCAAGACTTCATCTCTACAAAAAATAAAAAAGCTAGTTGGGCGTGGTGGCACACGCCTGTAGTCCCAGCTGAGACTGGGAGGCCGAGGTGGAAGGATGGCCCAGAGGTCGAGGCTGTGGTGAGCTGTGATTGTGTCACTGCGCTCCAGTCTGGGCAACAGAGTGAGCGCCTGACTCAAAGAGAGGGAGAGGGGCAGTCTGTGAGATGTGAAAGGGTGGACTGTCAACACACAAACTAGAAAGGATCCCAGGGTTCCCGGGCCAGCTGAAGAGATGAAAACATCACTAAGCTGTGTGCCCTTCCCCAGCCAAAAGGAAAAAAGCATGTTCCCAGTGAAGGAGAAACTTACATTACGGCCGTCCTGCTGATGGCATCCTTCCCGTGAACCAGAGTCGTGGTGCTTTCTGGATCTGAGGAGGCGGAGGGCGCTACATACAGCCAAAAGGAGGGGGAGGGGAGGGGAGGGATACTTAGTCATTTTTGAAAGTACAGTCGTAAGTAAGGGAGAATGTTTAAAAACAGTAAAGAGCTCTCTTGTCCCCAAATTCTCCTATCTATACTCAATTCTCACATTTACACTCGTGTGTTTGGATTTGATTGAGATACAGACCAGCTGTGTCTGTGGGAGGACTGGTGCTGACCCTTGAGGTAATACTAGAAATGATTGGCCAGACTTAGTAACTCACAGCTGTAATCCCAGCACTTTGGGAGGCCAAGGCAGGAGGATTGCTTGAGGCCAGGAGTTCAAGACCACCCTGGCCAGCATAACAAGACCTCATCCCTATTTAAATAAATAAATGAATAAATAAGTAACTAAATAAATAAAATATTAGAAACAATCCTATCAAAAGCAGCATGTTAGCTAAAGTTTTCAAGAAAAAAATCTCCCTTGGGGGCCTGAACATTCCATCCCATGCTTTTTTTTTTTTTTTTTTGAGTTGGAGTCTCACTCTGTTGCCCAGACTGGAGTGCAGTGGCCGCTCCCGGCCACCGCAGCCTCGACCTGCTGGGCTCCGGCTATCCTTCCGCCTCAGCCTTCCGAGTAGCCGGAATTACAGGCATGCGCTACCATATCCGGCTGATTTTTTGATTTATTGTAGAGATGAGGTCTCGCCGCCCAGGCGGGTCTCGAACCCGCGGGCTCAGGCAATCCACTCACCTCAGCCTCCCAAAGGCGGGATTACAGGCTGAGCCACCGAGTCCGGCCATCCCATGCTTTATGTAGTACTTTTTTCTTGGAATAGAGATTATTAATAGTTTTATACCCATTGTTCTTCAGTAAGCTCTCTGCATATTTTCAGGAATATGAAGATATGTTAATATATGAAGGCTAATAAGTAATTATATAATATATGTCAATAAAAGTCATATAAAATATATTTGATTCCCTTACCTGAAGTCCTCTTGTTAGGGACCTGCTGGGTGTCTCTAGCTCTCCCAAGTCCATTGGCAGCGAGGCTTTTCCTTTTGTTTATGGCTCTTCCTAGGGCTTCTGACAGTTCTCCTGTCCCCTAATACTGCCAATGGCCATCACTAGGTGACGGATAGCACTAACCCCGGGGGAGGCTCTGCCGTGCCTAACTGCCACAGTTGTCCTAGAAGATCACTGTGGAGACTCAGCTGTGGGCGGTAACAGGGCTTCCCAACCTCGGTATATACTGTTGACATTAAAAGCTAGATCATTCTTTGTTGTGAGAGCTGTCTGGTGCATTATAAGATACTTAGCAGCATCCCTGGCCTCCACCCACTAGGTTACAACCAAAGATATCTATAGATATTGCTGAATATCTCCCGGGGGGTAAACTCACTCCCAGCTGAGAGCCACTGGGTTCTATGTACCTTCTGTCCCCTCCACACGTGAGCGAGGAGTGCCACCTCGGGGCCCAACGTTGCTCAGAAGTTTGAAGAGGGCCACCTTTACACACAGGTGTGGGTACTATAATATAAGTGCTTTGCCTTTACCCAGAAATAAAAGCATGTAACATACTTTGACCAATTTTCTGACTCTTAATGGCCTCATGTTTTTGTCTTGTTGTGATGAAAGGAATCAAAGCATTAGTCAGGCGTGGTGACGTATGCCTGTAGTCCCAGCTACTTGGGAGCCTGAGGTGGGAGGATCCCTGGAGCCCAGGAGTTTGAGGCTGCAGTGAGCTATGATCACACCACTGTGCTCCAGCCTTGGCAAAGGGCAAGACCCTCTCTCTAAAATAAACAAATAAAAGAATCAAAGTAAATATATTCTAAAGAAAAGGGTCTCCCCTGACTTGGGACTGATCCCCAAAGGAGACCTTGCTGATCTGAGACATTTACTATAATCACTCTGGTTTGGCTGATGCACTTTTAGGACTCCACAATCTGGCTTCAGTCCATCATTTGGGTCCCTCTCCCTCTGTTGCCACCCAGACCATTCATGGTGGCCACACACACGTCCTCTTCATCCTTAATGTACCTTGTGCTTTCCTACTCTGCACACAAACCTCTTGAATGGATACAATCTTAAATGCTCCTTCTGCTCCATTCCACTTATCCCACAAGGCACGACTGTCAACATCCTGCCCATCTGAATGCCCTTGTCACCTCCAAGAAGACTTTCATATTCCCCTAGAGAGACGTGACCTTATTCTCTAGGAATACCCTCTGACACTGTGTTTTGGTTAGTTATATGGTACCGAACCCTTCATGTCTTTTTGAGGTTAGTGTCCATGTCATCTTCTCTGCTAGAGGTTTCCTGAGAGTAGGATTCGAGAATGGTTCATCTTTGCAGCCCCTGCGATGGTGCCTCTCCACCGATCCATAGCAAAGAGCTAGGTTTTTTTTGCTTGTTTTTTGAGTCAGAGTCTCACTTTGTCACCCAGGCTGGAGTGCAATGGCATGCTCATGGCTACTGCAGCCTTGACCTGCTGGGCTCAGGTGATCCTTCTGCCTCAGCCTTCCAAGGCGCTGGAACTACAGGCATGTGTCACTACACCTGGCTCATTTAAAAAAAAAAAAATTATTGTAGAGACAAGGTCTTGCCAAGTTGCCCAGCTGATCTTGAATCCCTGAACTCAGGCAATCCTCTCGCCTCAGCCTCCCAAAATGCTAGGATTACAGACATGAGCCAATGCTCCCAGCTAAGAACCAGTTTTTTAAAAATGGTATTCATAACCCATAACAGACTAGTACTTTTTTGAAATACAATGCAAATGAATTAGTGAAAAATGATGAAGCCCTGGGATGTCTTGACAATGTCTTAGTGCTATAAACGTTTCTAAATGCTTTTTCCCAATCTCTGCATGCATTCCATTGTGAGTTGGTAGCAAGCAGTTGAGGGCTAGATTGGTTTGCAGACCACACTTTGATAGTACCACCCAGCACAGTGGTTTTCACAGTAAAAATCTACTGGAGTAGTGGATCTCAAATGAAAGCAGGCAAAGGAATCATGTGAAGAGTTTGTACAAAGGACAGTGAAGCCCACTCCCGGAGTCTGTCATTTAGCAGGTCTGCGGTAGGCCCTGAGAATCACCATTTCTAGCAATTTCTCAGGTGATGCTTTTGCTGTCAGTAGAGGGAACCACACTTTGAGAAACAGTGCACCAAGGGGAGCCTACCAATGTCAATTGCACCGCCCCCTTGTGGTGGCCTGTACTCACAATGGGCAGAACTGCTAAAGTAGCCACTAACTTCGCCAATTCGCCCCTAGAGCAGTGGGTATCAGCCACACTTGCCCGGGGGATCCAGACACGAGAAAATTGTGAGAAACCACAAGGGTCCATACCTTGGGGCTGTTCTGGGCTCAGTTTTTCCACAGGTGACTGTGCAGGTGAGGGTGAAGAAGAACCTCGGGGCGTTGTTTGAGGTGTTCCCACAGTCAAAGACCCCAGGAATGGCCTGGGCGATGTCGATGCCTGGGAAGGCGGGGATCTGGGAAGCAATCCAGAGGTCTGTTCCTGCAGCTGAGGTGACACAGGTGACAGCCCAGGTGGCGTGATAGGCAGTGATGAGCCCAGTGTGGGGCTGGGTGGTGTGTGCACAGCTGGGGGTGATACAGGTGGCATGTCATCTGGAGAATGTGGCAGAGATGAGGCCGATGGCGATGCAAGTGACTGCTCAAACGAAGAGACAAGTGGTGAAACAGGAGACTCCATGGGCTGCTCACATGTGGATTCAGGCATCTGCCTGGGTGGGGACACAGGTGGACCACGGCCACCTTTCCCATCCTCTTTGGGAGCCCACTCCGTGTGAGGTGGTGTGGATTCTTTCAGACTGGCCCGCTGTGCCGGGAGGCTTGGTTGACTGTGTTCGGGGCACTCATTGCCAAGGGCAAGTTCTATCTGGCAATATACTTCCACCCGGGGGAAAATCACTCTCTTGGAGGGAGAGTTAAGGTAAGCGGCATCTAGGAGAAATAACAGCATGGGGTCACAGGCAGCAGCATGGCCAAGTATTTTCATAAACAGGATTAGTGCTTTTCAATGCCCTTTCTTTACTTGCTTGAGTGAAAACAACTGTGATGGCTCCTGACCTCTTGGGGCTTACAGTTCAACACCTGTGTGGACACAGGCATTGCCCACACAGATAACTGAGACAGTGCAGAAAACTGAGACAGTGGTCCTATGAGAGAGGGAAGCTTCCCATGAGACTGACAGTGAGCAGAGCTCTGAAGGACAGGGGCCCAGAATGGTCACCCCCAAAAGAAAAGGGTCTCGCTGGACTTGGGGCTGATCCCAAAGGAGGCCTGGCTGATCTGTGATGGTTACCATAATAACTACGGTTTGACTGAATCACCGTTAGGACTCTACATCCTAGCTTCAGTAAATCATTTGGGTCCCTCTCCCTCTGCTGCCATGCAGACCATTCATAGTGACCATGTGCATGTCCTCTTTATCTTGAATGTACCTTGGTCAGGGTGGCATGGGGAGGGGCATTTCGGCAGAGGGAACAGCATGCACAGAGGCCACAAGACTTAAGGGCCCAGCAGGAGGTGGGCAGGGGCCGAAAGGTCAGTGTGGCTAGAGCAGGGGTGGGGGGATCATGCTAGGAGAAGGGGCTGAGGAGGCTGCAGGAGCCAGGCCACGTAAGAACTAGTGGTCAGGAGTGAGGATCCTTGGATTTCATGGAAAGCATTTTTGTGGCATGACTTTTAGGCAGGGGAGGTGACGAGCTGACTCTGGTTCTCAGGAGGTCATTGTGGCTGTCAGACTCATTGAGAAGGACAAGAGAGGTCCAGACAAACATGCCAGGGTGCCGACAAGTGTCATTTGGGGCATGGGGTCACAGGTGGCAATACTAACCCCTGGCAGAGCATGGTGTCTGCAAGTATGGTTTTCCAAGTATTTTCATAAACAGGATTCGTGCTTTTCAAGGACCTAGAAAGTATTATAGTAGATTGTGTTTAGGAGGTGAAATCAATGAAAAGCGATGATGGGTTGATGGGGACGACAGGGAGGGTATGTGGCTTGTGCAGTCATGGATGCTGCTACTGTTTGCTGAGAGGGTCATCGTGGGAGGGGACTGGGCCTGGGAAGGAGTGGGAGAGCATAGGTCATGAGTTTGGGGACATGTTGAGTCTCAGAGGCCTGTGCGATGTTCAAGGAGAGATGACAAGTGAGCAGTTGGGTATATGGGTTTGGAGTTCAGCGAAGAGATCAGGGGCCGGGGGTGGTAGCTTGTGCCTGTAATCCCCTCACTTTGGGAGGCTAAGGTGGGAGGATCGCTTGAGCCCAGGAGTTCAAGACCTGCCTTGGCAACATAGTGAGACCTCGTCTCTACAAAAAGTGAAAAAAATTAGCCAGGCCTATAGTCCCAGCTACTTGGGAGGCTGAGGTGGGAGGCTCGCTTGATCCCAGAAGCTGGAGGCTGCGGTGAGCCATGATCGCGCCACTGCACCCCAGTCTGGGTGACAGAATGAGACACTGACTCCAAAAATTAAAAAAAGCAAGAAGAGCGGTCAGGGCTAGAAAAACATATTTGGGAGTGCCACATATGGGCGGTAACTGACACCAGGATGGCGGCTATGGATAGCACCTGGAGAGGAAACACAGAGTGAGAAGAAGGAACCAGAATGGAGTCAGGAGAGGGTGAGAGGGGCCCAGGGCAAGTTTTCTAAAATAGGCAAGACTTGGGCTGATTTGAAAGTTGCTAGTGAAGATTCAAAAGTTGAGAGGGGGAGGTTGGATGTATAAGAGAGAAGGGGAATGATGGCTAATTGGAGGGCCCTGAGATGGGGAAGGGTTTGGAGCACAGCGAGTGGGGTGGGCTTTAGGCCGGAAGAGGGACGCTTCCTTGGAGGGAGGGGCACGGGAAGAGGTGAGTCTGCGTCTGTGGTGGCAGGGAGCTGAGAGAACATCCCTCTGATAGCTTTGCCTGTCTCTGGAAATTAGAAGGCAAAGGCCTCTGTTGGGGTGCAGAATAAGTTGAGGTCTGAGGTGGCAACTGCAGGATGGCAATAGGTTGACAAGAGATCGCTTTTTGTGTAGAAATGGACAAGCTGGCTGGGTGTGGTGGCTCAAGCCTGTAATCCCAGCACTTTGGGAGGCCGAGGCGAGAGGATTGCCTGAGTCCAGGGGTTCAAGACCAGCCTGGGCAATTGGTGAGCCCGCATCTCTACAATAATTGAAAAACTGAGTGGGGCGTGGTGGTGTGCGCCTGTAGTTCCAGCTACTTGGAAAGCTGAGTGGAAGGATCATCTGAGCCCAGGAGGTCGAGGCTGCGGTGGCCGTGAGTGTGCCACTGCACTTCAGCCTGGGCGACAGAGTGAGACTCCAACAAAAAAAAAGAAAAGAAAAAGAAATAGACAAACTAATTGGGAAATATAAAGGACCTAGACTAGCAAAAACAACTTCAAAAAAGACCAATGTTGGCTGGATGTGGTGGCTCACACATGTAATTCTGGCAGTTTGGGAGGCTGAGGTGGAAGGATCGCTTGAGCCCAGGAGTTCAAGACTATCCTGGGCAACAAAGTGAGACCTTGTCTCTACAAAAAAATTTAAAAAAATTCACCAGGTGTAGTGGCACATGCCTCTGGTCCCAGCTACTCGGGAGGCTGAGATGGAAGGATCGCCCGGGCCCAGGAGTTTGATGCTGCAGAGAGCCATGCACTCCAAACACTCCAGCCTGAATGACAGAGTAAGACTCTATCTCAAAAAATTAAGAAAACTAAAAAGGGTAAAACAAGAAAAAGACCAAAGTTGGAGGACTAACACTATGAGGTTTCAAGAGTTGTCATAAGGTTGCAGTGATCAAGACAGTAAAATATAGAGACATCTATTAAGGTACAAAATAAAAGTCTGGAAATAGAATCATGACACATATATATGGGCAACTGATGATAATCAAATTTGCAAAATCATTTCTTTTTTAAAACAGAGACGGAGGAGGGTCTCTATATTGCCCAGGCTGGTCTCCAAACCCTGGCCTCAAGTGATCCTCCCATCTCAGTCTCCCAAAGTGCTGGGATTACAGGTATGAGCCACGGTGCCCAGCCTGCAAAGCCATTTCAATAGAAAAAGAATAGTCTTTTCAACAAAAAATGCTGGAACAATTGGATATCCATATGCAAATAACAACAACAGCAACAAGTCCCAAAACTCCCTTTGATTCATACCTTCCACCATATCAAAAAATCAGTGGAAAATAGATCAAAGAAAAATGATAAAACAAAAATCTAAAACTTCTAGAAGAAAACATAAGGGGGAAAAAAATCTCTGTGCCCTTAAGCAAGGTAAAGATTTCTTAGATAAGGCACCAAAAGCATGATCCTAAGGGAAAAAATTGACATTATGGACTCCATAAAAATTTAAAATTTCTTCTCTTTGGAATATACTATTCAGGAATTGAAAAGACAGATCACAGACTGGGAGAAAATATTTGCAAGCCATTTTTTTAAGCAAACTCTTTTGCAAACCACAAATCATATTTCTGATAAAAGGCATTTATTTGGATTATATAAAAACTCTTAAATAGGAAAATAATTCAATCTTTTTTAATGGGCAAAAGCCAAAAACAACTGGAAGTGCTCCCTGTGATTAAAGCTGGAACAATCTGAGGAACAAAATATATAAAATAGTATTGAATAATAACCCAAAATATAAAATGACTATTCATGGGTCCATACTGATATGAGCAAATGACAAATCAGTAAATAAATCAGGGAGAAGAGAGAAAACCTCCCATGCAGGAATCCCAAAGAATTTATGTAGGTACTTGGCATTTAAGGAAGTGGAACATAATTTCTCACTCCTTCAGTGTGGGCTGTGCATAGTGACTTCCTTCCAAAGACTATAGTAGGGACAGAGGGAAAAAGAGTAACTTCACAATGGGGAAATCTGACAAACACTGCCTCAGCCAGGTGGCCAAGATCAACATCAATAGAGAGACATCATGTGGACAGCATGTACCCTTGATAGGATGTGTTGAGAACGACACGACACTTTATCTCTGTGATCTTCCTCTCAAAACCCATAACCCCAGACTAATCATGAGAAAAACATCAGGGAGATCCCAGTTGAGAAACGTACTACAAAAACTGACCAGTAGTCAAAACTGTCAAGTTCATCAAAAGCAAGAAAAGTCAGAGAAACTGTCATAGGCAAGAGGAACCTAAGGAGACAAGATGGCTAATGTAGTATCCTGGATGAGATCCTGATGCAGAAAAAGGAATCAGGTAAAAACTATGAAAATCTGAATAAATTATGGCCTTTAGTTCATAACAATGTATGTTAACAATGGTTCATTAACTGTAACAAATGTACCACACTATGTATCATGTTATATATGTACCATATTATGACATCTAGTGAGACAAACACCTTGTACTATTGTCACAATTTTTCCATAAATCTAAAACTATTCTAAAAAACAAAGCTTATAAAAGGTCTAAATGGGAAATGGGCAAAAGGGTGGAACAGACACTTCACCAAAGAATTGAGGGCCAATATGAAATGATAAGATGCTCAGCATCGTTATTCACTAGGGAAATGCAGATTAAAACACATGGTAACACACCATCACAATTTTAGAATGGCTAAAATTTAAAAGACTGCACATATCATGGGATTGGCGAGAATTTGGAAAAACTGGAACTATCATCCACTGTTGGTGGGAATGTAAAATGGTGCAACCACTTTGGAAAACAAATTGGCAGTTTCGAAAAAAGCCAAACACTCCCTCTGGTTACATAGTCAAAAGAACTGAAAATAGAATCTCAAAGAGATGTATACATCCATGCTCATTGTAGCATTATTCACAGTAGCCACAAGGTGGAAGCAAGCCAAGTGTCCTTTGACAGACGAAGACGGATAGACTTTTTAAAGATGTGGTCTATACATAGGGTGGAACATTCTTCAGCTTTAAAAAGGAAGAAAATGCTGTCGCAAGCTACAATAAGGCTAAACCTTGAGGACGTTATGCTAAGTAAAATGAGCTAGCCACAAAAAGACAAAGACTGAAGGATTCCACTGATATGCGGTTCCTAGAGCAGTCACATTCACAGAGACAGAAAGTGGAGTGGTGGTTGCCAGGGCCTGGAGGAGGAGAACTCAACCGGTATAGAGTTTCAGTTTTGCAATGTGAACAAGTTTCACAGATCTGTTGTACAACAACAGGGGTCCCCAACCCCTGGGCCCTAGACCGGTACAGGTCCATGGCCTGTTAGCAACTGGGCCACACAGCAGGAGATGAGCAGTGAGCCAGCAAGCAAAAATTCACCTGAATTTACAGCTGCTTCCCATCATTCACATTACCACCTGAGCTCTGTCTTCTGTCCGATCAGCAGCGGTTAGATTCCCACAGGGGCAGAAACCTATTATGAACTGTGCATGTGAAGGATCTAGGTTGCACGCTCCTTGTGAGACTCTAATGCCTGGTGATCCGAGGTGGAGCTGAGGCAGTGATGCTAGCGCTGGGGAGCGGCTGCAAGTACAGATTAAAATTAGCAGCGAGCATTTTGCACAGAGACCATAATAAATCAATTGCTTGCAGACTCATATCAAAACCCTATCAGTGAGCGGCAAGCAAGTTGATATACTTCAGTTGTACAGCTGCATCTGGTGGTAGGCTTTAAATCGGAATCTGACACTTATTTTAGTCTGCCTGTGGCCCACCCATTATTTTATTTATCACTTCCATCCATGCCTCTTTCTTAAAAATGATGATTGTATAATTATCTCATTATATATTACAATGTAATAATAATATAAAGTGCACAATAAATACTATGTGCTTGAAACTATCCCCCTATCTGCTGTTCGTGGAAAAACTGTCTTCCACAAAATTGGTCCCTAATGCCAAAAAGGTTGGGAACCGCTGCACAATTTGAACATGGTTAGCACTACTGAACCACACACTTAAGAATGGTTAAGATGATCTTGTTGTGTATATTTTATTAAATATTCATGTATGTATGTTAAACATGCATGCACCATACAATCCAGTCATTCCACTCCTGGGTATTTTCCCCAGAGAAATGATGGCATACAAGGGGGAGAACCCAAAAACCCCAGAATTTATTTATAAAAGGTTGTGTATTTATTCTTACATGTTTAACCTTCAATCACCTTCAAAGTACTCTCCATTTGATGCAATACACCTATCAAGATGCTTATTATACTGCTCAAAACAGTTTTTGAACTCATCCATTTTGATGACTTTTAGTGCTTCTGTCATTTTGGGGGGTCTCACCTCTTCCACAGGGACAAAATGTTTCCCTCTGAGGACTTTTTTCATCCAAGGAAACAAAAAAAAAGTTTCTTGGGGCAAGACCAGGTGAATAAGGTAGGTGGGGCACAGAGGCTATGCTGTTTCCAGTCAAAAACTGCTGAACACTCAGTGCAATGTGGGCAGGTGCATTGTCATGGTGGAAGAACCAGTCACCTATTGACCACAACTTGGGACGTTTCTTCTACAAGTCGTGATGAAACCTTCTCAAAATTTCCAGATAAAAACTTTGGTTGACCGTGTGATCCAGAGGAACAAATTCTAAGTGTACTACAAGGGCCCACCCTCCAAAAAGACAATTGTGGGGTTTTTTGGGTCCCCTTTGTACTTCCAATACAAAGATTCATGCATGAGTGTTCACAGCAGCTGTATTCATAATAGCCCAAATCTGGAAACAACCTAAATGTTCACCAACAGGTGAGTGGATAAACAAGCTGTGGTCCACTCATACAATGGCAGGGAATGTAACCAGGAATGAACTATTTATACACGCGGTGACATGGGTGAATCTCAGAATAATTATGCACAGTGTAAGAATTCAAATGGAGGCCGGGCTCGGTGGCTCAGCCTGTAATCCCAGCACTTTGGGAGGCCGAGGTGAGTGGATTGCCTGCGCCCGCGGGTTTGAGACCCGCCTGGGCAACTTGATGAGACCTAATCTCTACAATAAATCAAAATGAGCTGGGCGTGGTAGCGTGCGCCTGTAGCTCCGGCTCCTTGGAAGGCTGAGGCGGAAGGATCGCCGGAGCCCGGCAGGTCAAGGATGCGGTGGCTGGGAGCGGCCATTGCACTCCAGTCTGAGTGACAGAGTGAGATTCCAACTCAAAAAAAAAAAAGAATTCAAATGGAAAATGTTCACACTGTAAGCTTCTATTTATCAAAAGCTCTAGAATATGCGAATTAATCTATAATGACAGAAAGCAGATTGGGGTTGCCTGGGAATGAGGGGAGCGAGGGAAGGGGGAAAGAAATCACAAAAGGGCATGAAGATATTTTGGGGGTGATGGATTGTTCACGATCTTGATTGTGGTGAAGGTTTCATAGGGGTGTGTGTGTGTGTGTGTGTGTGTGTGTGTGTGCGCGCGCACGCACACACAAGAAAGAACTTATCAAATTGTGAGAGGAAAGAGAAGGAGAGAAGAAAAGAAGGAGGGAGATGAGGGAGGGATGCCTGGCCAGGCATGTCTGGCTGCTGGATGGATATTTTAGACATGGCATCCTCTGAGCTCCAACCTCACTCAACGCTCACGTTTGCACTTCTGTGTGGGGAATGTGGATTTTCAAGCATGCCAGTGTGCAGTGCTCTTCCCTTGGCAGAGGCTGCTGCCAAGGGAGGCCAAGTGTGGGCAGAGTGAATTGCCCGGCAGCAGGAATAATTAGGTGGCTGAGTCCTCGGGAGGGAGGAGAAGAGGATGTGGGAATATGAGTTGAGGAGTTGACAGTGACGTCTTTTGGGGTGTGGCTTCCTGCCAAAGATGACCTCTATCCAGGAGGCAGTCAGGCGGAGGCTAAGGCAGACACCCACTTTCTGCTTCCCGATGGCAGGTGAGGATTTAGGAGGTGAAACCTACACTGGGAAGCTGCGTATACACTGGTGAATTTGGAAAGGAAGAATAGCCAGGAGCCAGCCGACACATTTTCTTCTTTATGAGTTGTATCCGTTCCCACTTGGACTGATTCCAGGGCCACTGGAAAATCTGTCAGTCTCCATATATACTGCCTCAAGCTTTTGGGTAGATTCCTGAAGTGCCACCATGAGGTTTCATTTGGGGGTGGGCTGGATTGACCATGGGTGGGACCGTGGGGGTGATGGATTGTTCACCATCTTGGTTGTGGTGAGGGTTTCACAGGTGTGTGTGTATGTGTGTGTGTGTGTGTGTGTGTGTATGTGTGTGTGTGTGTGTGTGTGTGTGTGTACACGCGTGTGCGTGCACAAAAGAGAACTCATCAAATTGTGAGAGGGAAGGGAAGGATACAACACTGGTGCTGAGGACTTTACCTGGCTTTACTTCTTTGATCCTCACAATAAAACCTGGAGGTAGGTTTCATGATCAGCCCCCTTTTACAGATAAGGGAACCGAGGCGATTGATTACTACTCAAGAACACAGTAAGTGTCAGGAACTAGCATCTAAGTCCTTTTTCATAGATTAGAAAACCAAGCCTCAGAGAGGGAAAGTGATTTGCCCAAGGACACACAGCATGTGGGTGGAGTGGGGCTACTTGCCTCTGGAATGTGCTTTCTCTCATCTGGCTCTTCTCTTCTCTCTCCACCCCACTCCTCTCTTTGGGAGAAAGGACCCAGGAGAAAGTAAAGACACAGGATAATGGGAAGCTTGGGAAAGCAGAAAGCAATTTTGAAGAGGATAAAAGTGAACATATGCTAGAAAGAACTCTCATTTAACTCCTTCATCTCACCCCCACAATGTTTTTTAAAGCTACATAACAGGTCAGATGTGGTGGCGCATGCCTGTAATTCCAACACTTTAGGAGGCTGAGGCAGGAGGATTGCTAGAAGCCAGGAGTTTGAGACCAGCCTGGGCAACATAGCGAGACCTCATCTCTACAAATAATAAAAAAATTAGCCAAGTGTGGTGGGGTGTGCCTACTTGGGAGGCTGAGGTGGAAGGATCATCTTGAGCCCAGGAGGTCAGGGCTATGGTGAGCCATGATCATGCCACTGCACACTAGCCTGGGCAACAGAGTAAGACACTGACTCAGAGAAGAGAAAATAGTGGACATTTGAAAGCTCAAAGGAATGATCAAGCAAACTTTTCTAAACAGCTGGGATGGAATATTGTACAACCGCCAAAAAAGACAATCACGGAGACCGGGTGGCAACATGGAAAGAAACTTCTGATATAACATTTAGGTAACACCTTTTGACCAAGGGATTCCTTTTTCTCAAAATATGTTCTATTTTTTTGCTCATTTCATTTCTTTGCTCATTTCATTTCTTTTTAACTAAGTTGTCTGCCACAGTCCTCATGGCCCTTAAGTGTGTCTAATTCGTGCCATTGGAATCCACCCTGATGATTCAGGGACACACTTGCAAACCAACATAGAGCGAGGGAGGGCTCTTCTCTCAAATTGGTTGATTGACATGTCACTCAAAGTCTTATCTGTATATGAACTGGTCACATTTAGTTCTGCATGAACAATATGGTTGTATTGGAAGGAGCATATTAGTAGAAGAGAATGAAATGACAGGAAAACAGACTTCTCCAAGAAGATTTGAACTATGTATTTCCTAGCCATAGTTTTAAAATTCGTAAATATATGTACACACATGTTCTGGGCACGGTGCCCCTGCTAACCCCAAAGCCCACTTTCCACCCACATCCTGATTTCTGTCCCCAGTGGCCCATCAGGACAGCCTAGGTTGTCAGGTCCCCACGCCCACCTCAAGCTCTCCCCGTGAAGGGCTCTCCAGCTCCCAGATCTGGGGGGCATGCCCTCTACTCCGCCCTTCTGCTTCCTGTCCTTGCTTTGCCCCCGCCCCTCCCCTTCCCTGGGGCCCAAGGGGTACTCACTCAGCCGCCTTAAGTACAGAACCGCATCCTCGTACCCTCGGTAGTAGTAGTCGTGCAGCATCTGAGGGTGGGGGCACAGGAGAATAACCGAGGCTGCAGCAGCAGAGACAGCCACAGCCCCTCGCCCGCAGCACCTGCTCTTGTGGCTCTCGATGGGTTTTTCACAACGTCCCCCTCCCGCGTCCCATGCCCCGCTGGGCAGCGATTCCCGAGCACGTGTCCCCCGGGAGTCTGCTTTCATCAGCTGCACCATTCACAGCCGATCCTCGGCCTCCCCGCGGGCAGGAGAGGGTGGGGTGTTTATGGCAGAACCAGAGAAGGTGCATTCGGGCCACGTGAAGAGCGAAAGCTGGGGTCTGGGTTCAGGTCTCCTCAGTGTTGTCACCTGTTGGCTGTGTGGAGGTAACTTCTCACAGCCTCAATGTCTTCTCTGTAAAATGGGGGCAATAATGGCATCTATTGCGAGGATGCTTAACGGTTACACGCAATGCTGCCTGGGGAACTTTGCTGTGAAGGGCCGAATACTGAGTATTTGCCACTCTGCTGGCCACATGCAGTTTCTGCTGCATATTCTTCTCTTTCTTCTTCTCTCCCTCTATTTTTTTTTTTTTTTTTTTACTCTTTAAAAATGGAAAACCCATTCTTAGCTCACAGGCTGTACAAAAACAAGCCATAGGCTGGTTTTGGCTCAAGGTTTGCGGTTTGTTGACACTCGCTGGTACATTGACGCTCAGAGTGGAAGGGTTCAGTTAACATTTCTGTCAGCAGTTCTGACATCATCTCGTTTTATCGGGAAGAACCCCGAGGCTGGAAGAGCTTAGGGGTCCTGTCCAAGGTCACATAGCTAGTTGGCGGCAAGGCCAAGATACAGGTCTAGGAGGAAGTTGAGGGAAGGAGACACCGCTGGAACTTGAGTGGCTCCACCAGCTACCCGATCCCACTGCTAGATGCTGCCACCTTCCCCCGATCACCCCCTTCCTTAGGCTCCTCCTGTCTCTCACCACCAGGTCCGGGGGGAACAGGGCATGAGTCATCCTGGCGATATTCTCCAGGGAGAACTGGAAGGAGTAGTTGAACATGCGGAAGTCGTGGAAGATGGCGGGGCAGTCCCGGGGACAGATGTCCTGCTGCCCGCTGAAGGTGGAGATGGTGATGGAGTCTGTCCAGAAGGCACAGGGCTGCATGCCTGTGAACCCCCCATCGATGTACCTCTGTAGGGGGTGGAGCGAAAAATATTCGTCTGGGGCCAGAGTTCTCACCTTCACTCAGGGAAATGGGTCCATGAGACAGCAGGACCGGAAGACACTTCAAGGCAAGACTCAAGACAGGTTCTGGTGGGTGAGTGGTGTGCCCACGATCACTTGGCCTCTGAACTCCCAACACAGTGCTCTGTCCCTGCACTGATGCCCCTCAGCCATATTATTGGCACTGAGACTGGGGCTCCCCTCTGTGACTAGGGAGGGGGAGACATATTCTGGTTAAACTTGAGTGGCTCCACCAGCTACCCGATCCCACTGCTAGATGCTGCCACCTTCCCCCGATCACCCCCTTCCTTAGGACCTGTGCTCCCCTGCCATAGCCTCACCTTGTTCCCACCTTCAAGCCCCTTCCCTGCTGGGGCTTCTGCTTCTCATCTATGAACGAAAGACGACAAATACCAAGCTCTAACTCCCGGGGTTCCTGGGAACTGCCTCACTGGCGTACAATATGGCTCCTACTGCCTGAATCTTGCTCTTTGAACCTTATTTTCTCTTATATATAAGATGGGGGGGGCGTATGATGGTTCACACCTATAATCCCAGCACTTTGGGAGGCCAAGGAGAGAGGATTGCTTGAGCCAAGAAATTTGAGACCAGCCTGAGCAATATTTTAAAAATTGCTGGATGTGGTGGCGTGTGCCTGTAGTCCCAGCTACTTGGGAGGCTGAGGCGGGAGGATCACCTGCACCCAGAAGGTCAAGGCTATGGTGAGCCATGATTATGCCACTGCACTCCAGTCTGGGTGATGGAGTGATACCTCAACTCAAAAAACAAATTAAAATAAAATGAGGAGGGGGCCTGGGTTAGACCATCCCTACTCAAATGCAATGTGTAACCAGCAGCACCAACAGCCCCCAGAGCTGGTTAGAGACACAAACTCTCAGGCCCATGCCAGACCCACCGGATCAGAGCTTGCATCATCTTACAAGTCCCCTGAGTGGCACAGTGAAATCTGTGAGGCTTCAAAGATCCTCATCATTTGAGGCTCAAGGTCCCAACGCTTCGGGTTTGTCTTCTACTCTCTGCCAAGTTTGGGAAAATCTGACAGGCATGTGGAGTCTTGATTTGCTGGGCTCAGTAATGGGTAGGTGGGTCCAAAGAGAATCCCAGGCCTGCTGGGGGAAGTTCATCTTTTTTTTTTGAGTTGGAATCTCACTCAGTCGCCCAGACTGGAGTGCAGTGGCT